GCCCCCCGCGCCCCCCCCCCCGGTGGCCCCGGCGTCCCCCGGTGCCTCCCCGAGCCCCGCGGGGGGACGCGTGGGTGCCGTGGGTTGTCCCGGGAACCTCCGGGCTGCAGCAGCGCCGGGGGGGGACGACGACACACGGAGGTGGCCACAGACCTGAAGCGGGGGCTTGAGGGTCGAGGTCGCTGCTTAGGGGTTTGCTGCCCTTGAAAGGAAAAAGGGGTGAGATGGAGAGGGCTGTTGGGTTTGGGAGCGGAGGGCTGGGGTCACTTCAGAGCTTCCCTGCGCACACGCTGCGTGGTGCCAGCCGCAGTCTCCAGCCCCTGCTTTAGCCTCCGACAAGTAAAGCGTAAAGCGGGGAAACTCCTTTCTCTTCCTTCCTCTAGGTTGCCTCGTCTAGATGATAAAATCCGCAGGATAGCAACTTTTTTTTTTTTTCTTCCCCCCCTCTATGTCTTTTCCAAGGCACGACGGTAGCATTAGCACCTTAAAACATTGGGTTTATCGATTGGTGCATTTGTTACTAATTTACTCCCGTTCTTTGATACTTTATCTTTAGGCTTTTTGTCGTGGAAGTCAGGGTCTACGTTGCCGACACCCCTTTTTTCTCACGGACCTCAACTAATTCCACTGGCAGCTAACGCCAGGATATTTAGGGGGGTTTTGAGCATTAATGACTGCATTGTCACAAAGCTCTCCTTGGGTATTTGGTAATACTATCACCCATACCATTCAAATTGGGAAACTCCAGCCCAGAATGTGGAGGTGCCCAGCTCCAGCAAAAGAGTTAAAGGTGCTGGGGTTAGATCTGTCACCATTCAGTAAAGCTGAGAGCTTTATCTGTTTGTCCACGATGGCAGACGCGATCTGGGAACGGGAGCTCTCTGTTCTTTTAAAGATGCTACTGTCCTGCAGGCGCAGCCTGATAATACAGGCTCTACCAAAAGTGGAACAATTTCTTCCCCTAAGCGCAGGTGCAGTTTCCACAAAGTTACTCTGTGGGTTTGTCGATTTGTAGAGTTTCGCTGTCTTTGTACACTGGAAATGTTAGGCAGTGTCTTGTACTCGTATGACTTATGCCGCTTGGCAGAAATCCCTTATTTTGTGTAATTCATTGTTCATTTTTCCCCCCTCCCCTTTAATAATAAGGGGAGAAAAAATAAGATAAAAAAAGAACCAAGGTTTTAATTCCTGTTTGGGTGCTGTAAGCTAGGAATAATTGTCTACAATCTAGCAGTGTCTTATTTTTAGTAAACCAATTACAATTTCACAGTATGTGTGTGGTCATTACCGAGTTTGAAATGTCAGAAAACGCAACAGCAGGTATCCATTTTGCGCGTTGTTGGCTTGCTTTTTCAGGACTCAGAAATACTATACTCGCCTTCACACCGAGGCAACGATAGATACAATACAGGTGTTGTACTGATTTAACTACGGTTGTATAAAATACTGGTAGTACAACTCTCTAATGTAAACAAGCCCGAAGTCATTACTGGGGGCAAGGCAACAGGAAGAACTGCCCCAGAAACTTTATTCCGAGAGCTCCTGTGTGTCTGAAGGCCCTCCTGAAAGCACGACAGGGTAAGCAAACCGTCTGCTTTCATCTCCCTGGCCCCTGAGCCCTTTGCAGGCTGAAGGCTCCCCCACCGCGAAGCCCCAAGAGGCTCCGTTTTCAGCCCTTCCTCGAGGGAACGGAGCCAGGCAGCAGCTGCTCGGCCGATACGGAACTCTCCGACCAGCGTCCGTGCTCGGGGCAGATCACAACCATCACGCCGCCGAACACGAGGATGGCTCAACGTGGACTGATTGATGGAAGATGTCGGGAGCCACCGTGTTAGGCATCCTTGTGCAGCCACGTGCGTTCCTGGGTCCGCCTAAACCCCTCCTGGGTGCCAGCGAGCCTTTTGCTGCTTATGGAGCCTTCTAGAGTTGAGAAGAAACCCAGGTTTAGGGCAGAGAAAGTAAAAATCAGTGGTGCTGGCAGGGCTTTCACTTGCCAAGCAAGGCTAGCCCCGCTCCTGGTTGTTTATGCTGCCTGGACGCCAGCCAAAGCCCACAGAAATTAGCAGAAAAACCAACTGGATCAGGTCCATAAAGCCTGAGGACTCGCTTCCATTCTTACCCCTTTGATCCAACAAGAGTATGTATTTACCGAGCGGGGCCTCTCTAGCCCTCTTTGTTGGCCAAATGCAGAAGTGGTAGCAACAGGTTTTTCATGTGATTTAATCGTTTTCTCTCTCACCACATTGGGCAGAAGCCTCTTTGTGTTTGTTTCTACATGATTTCAGTGCTTTTATGTTCTTTTTTTTTTTTTTTTTTTTTTTTTGTAGGGCATCTTCTTTGTGGTAGTCCAGTCACATTTCAGAGGGAGAGTCAGGGCCTGAGATTGTTTGATACTTGCAGGACTGAAGATATTTTAAGTGCATTGGTCGTAGTGAGTTTTATTTGCAGAAGTTCTTTCAAACTTTTCCAAAGGTTGATTTATCCCATGCAGACAGCAGCGGGCATTAGAAGGACTGAATGCTTCATTCCCTCCTGTGAAACAGGGAGGATTTTAACCCCGGAGGATGCTGAGCCCTGTGGTGGTAAGAGAAGGAGCTGCCATCGGCATCCACGATCTTCCCCAATTAGCAATCTACTCCAGCGCATACCCTGCAGTCAAATCCAAGGTCAGCATTCGGGGGGTTGCTCAGTTTGCAGTCAAGTCATAAAACTGGGCATGACCTTCCCAAAGATCTCTTCAAGCACGTCATCTAAGACTCAAGG